ATTGAGATGAGTGATATGCATGATGCAGTACAGAATAGATTAAGTTGTTCCATCTGATCTGTTGTAGTATAATATTGCGTGCTTGATTTGTACCTCTAGGCATTGGAGTCCTACACAGACCTGGTGTTAGTTGAAGCCATTGTCATGTGCCTCACCAGACTACAGCCCTTACTTCCAAAGGTAAGCAAACAATGTTGCCTGCTTCACAGTTTCAGGCTTGGTTTGAAAATACATGTGTACTCACAAAATTGCTCGCAAATACATTCCCTAGGGAACTATGTTTAGTGCTGTAGACATGTTTCTATAGCTCTTGGACCACGCGAATACACAGGCACTATAGCAGAGTGCTAGTCCACTAGTATTACTAGTAGTATGATTTTGACTGTATTACTGTTTGAGTTCGGAGCAGAGAAAGCAGTATGTATATTTTTTGGTATTACATTTGTATTTGATAAGTCTTTGAAATGTCATTTGATCTGGTGTGTTATGCCGAAGGGTCATTATATCGGCGGATATACCGCCAGAGGGTGGATATACAGATACAGATATAGTCGGGTTTTGAACCCCTGACCTCTGGTACACAAGTTCCATGTGTTGTGCTGAACATGTCATTTCTCACCCACCAGGAATCGGTGTTCCATAAGCTCCTGTTCTGGGTGGCCATCGCCGTGCTCCAGCTGGATGAGATCCCCCTGTACTCAGCAGGGCTGGGGCTGCTGGAACAGAACCTCCACACCTTAGACAGCCAGGGACACTTCGACAAAAGGGTAAGGAAAACAACTTCCCCATACAGAGTGCTGTCAACCATTATCAAAGACTATTTGTTGAGACCACATTTTCAGAGTAATGAGACCAACAGAGTACTTTTCCTGTATTGGTGTGAATGAATGATTCTGTCATTAGATACTGGACGTCAGAAAACAAGAATTCTTGAGATTTTTTTCTACTTGGTACATGACATACATGCATCGTGTAGAAAATGCACTCCAGGACTAATCTTTAACAGTGTTGTTTGCAGCATGTGTCAGTTTTTAGCTTACTGAATGAGTTTTTTTGTTGTTTCTGTGTTGCTGTGATTTCCAACATACACAATGCAGGGTTGCTATACATCCTTAGTGCAGCTATTTTTTGTCAGTTTGAGACTGGAATGTAGCATGGGTAAGGGTGTGAAGTCTGCCATCTCTGATTGTCTTGTCGCTCGTGTCTCCACTCCCCTACAGAGCCCAGAACAGGTCCTGATGGAGACCAGAGAGCCCATGGAGTGGCACTTCAAGCAGATGGACCACTCGGTCGGACTCAGCTTCAAGTCCAACTTCAACTTCGCGGTGGTCGGCCACCTCCTGAAGGGCTTCCGCCATCCCAACCCTGCCACGTTCTCCCGCACCATCCGACTTCTCATGCTGATGTTACAGCTCATCAGCAAGTACAAAAACTGGTGAGCTACTGGGAAGATAACATATGAACAAAGGGCAAGATTATAGAAGGCTTTTTGCAGAAAATGCATTTTTTTTCAGATGTTTCCAAGAGAGAGAGTACTATTGATGAGTAAAGTAGTATTGATAACTGGAAGAGCTGCTAGAAGCTTGATTTATTTAACCTAAAGTGACCCTGTCACTGAATAAGATGTAAATCTGTACATGTATATCACATTTTCGTATTGCATCAGTTGTCATGATTCATTCCTTTGAGCTTTGCTATAATCTTACTGTTAAACACATTCCAGCGACAAGTTTGAAGTCAGCAAGGAGAGCGTTCCGTACCTTGCCGCCCTGATCTCAGTGTCTGACGAAGTGCGAAGCCGCTGCGTCCTAAAACACCGGAGTAGCCAGCTCCTTGCCGAGGCAACCTCCCAAGAGCCCATCGTCATGGAAACAAGCCCCACCCATTCCGCGTCTGGACAGAAGGACTCCTCCAAGAGAAGTAGCCGAGATCGGGGGACACCAAAGAGTCAGAAGAGCCTGGACATTCACATAGGCCACCACACCCCACCCATGCCCTCCCACACTAAAGCTCACAAGTCACTAAGCACGGACGCCGGTCTGGCTACAAAGAGACAGAAAAGCTTCGAACTTGTCGGACAGAAGTCGCCACGGTTGCCCGAGGCTAGCGGCGGCGGGTCCCCAAAACACGAGGCAAGCGGAGGCGACGTGGAGCAGAGCTCGCCGCCAAAGGTGAGGCGCGTAGCGGAACAGGCGGAAGTGGCGGCCAGGGGAGGCAGCAGGAAACCCTCGCTGTCAGAAAACAACCTGTTGTTGGATGAGGAGGTGCTAACAGACCAACAGACACAGGCACTGCTGCTCACTGTGCTAGTAAGTACTTTCCATCTTGTACACCACATTTTGTCAACATTACGTAAGCTAAGATTCTATCAAACCTTTTCTTTGCATTCCATTGGCATCAAAATTTTGAGTTTATATATGTACATGTATGAGAACTTGCAATTCAGCTTATAAGCAACAAAGAGTTTGGAACGAATACTAAACAAACAGTCAAAACAGTCTACCATGTTTCACAACAAACTGACAAAACAATGTCCGTTTCCATTTCCAGGCAACGTTGGTGAAATACACCAATGATGAGTCTGAAGAGAGAATCCTGTATGAATACCTAGCGGAAGCCAGTGTGGTATTCCCCAAGGTGTTTCCTATTGTGTAAGTACTAGTATGCTTTCCTTAGCTGACCATTTTTGTAAGGAGCCAATAGTATGCTTTTCGATATTTTATCAGGGTATGCAAGTTTTGTTTCCTTCTTTCTGTGAAGAAATAACATTTCCCAAACTTTTTCTGTCCCCCTGACCACAGACATAGTCTACTTGATGCCAAAATCAACACAATGCTGTCCCTGTGCCAAGACCAAGTCATCCTCAATGCTGTACAGAGTATTGTACAGAACGTCATCTCCCACGAAGATGCCAGCCAACATGGGCCCTCCTACCTACAAAGTACGTCTTGTCTTAGTCTTGGGCAGGTCTTAATGGTGGTGTGGTTTTTGTGGTGACTTCACACCTGCAAACAGTTGATATGACGTTCATTGTTTCAACTGTAGACTTAATGTCATTATAATCTATTGATTGTCAATATGCCTTTAACTTAAAGCATCAGGAACCTAAAAAAATTTAGAGTATTGTAGTTTTTATTTCAGAATCTGTGAATTACACTCTTAGGTTTTGTGGCAGTGCTGACTGTGTGTTTTTATAACTTATTATAACTATAAATCACACTACGTGTATTTCACAGCTTTTGGCTTTGGTGGCTTGTGGAGATTTGCAGGGCCATTCTCCAAAACAAAGGTATGTATGACAAATGATACACCTTTAAATAGCAATTGTTAAGCACCTATAATACAGTTAATGTTAGCTAAATAGTGATGACTAGTGTTTGTCTGTGTTAATTCGCTTTAATGGGTGGGAAATCCCAAAACTAGGTACAAGTTTGGATCAAAAATTGATTTCAGGTAGCACTTTTTTTCTCTCCTTCTATTTTTTGTGGACTTGGACTTTTTCCCTTAAATTTTAGCCTTCTGTTATTCCTAATTTTTCTGTCACTGTGTTCTCCATAGTTTATGACATACCATCTGTCCATGCGACAAATTTGGAAACTTTGCTTTATGAACGTTATAATGCATATTGAATCAATATACTAAATTGCAGCAATACCCCTATGATAATTTGCATTTATCGTCACTTCTAATAGCATTTGCCTCCAATCTAGGCTGATATCAAACCACTGTAAACCAGTAAATAAGCAAGGAATAAGGAGATGATTAGTGCACTGTTCAAGTAACACATAACATGCTACAGAATGAATTCTACCAGCAATTCTGATAATAAAAATTTCATGCTTCATTCATTATATCACTAGTGATACTGCTGTCTGTTTGTGGTACTTTTGATTGTATGCTACATAATGCACCATTTATACAATACCATATTCTGACTCATGTCCTAATGCAGCATACATAATTAATCGTTCTCTCACAGACCCTTGTGCAATATGACACTAGACTCTCTCTATTCATCTAACCATATGATAGTGATTTATCTTAAAGTTGCAGTTCAGATGCTGTTGTAAATGATGTTATAGAGAAATTGTTATTGCCAAAGTGTATTACTACTAGTATAAAGCATCCATGTTGGTGTGTATATAACTTCCAATGCTGACAGTTGTAGAAGTGACTAGGACATAACAGGGTGACGTAAGCAGGTGTACCACGGTTTCCCCATTGACTACGTCAGACATGTGCCCCATGCAGGTAGGCACCCCCGGCCCCGAGCAGCGATCGGCCGTTGCGCGTTGTTTCTCCATGTCAGTTCAGTCCCTTTGGAAATGGACCGTGGATGAGAAGAAAAAGGTAGACAGTGATGGTAGACCCCTGCAGCCAAAATAAACTGTTAAAAAAAAAGAGAGAGAATGCTTCTTAAAACTGTAAGGAAAAGGGAGTAAAGGTGCTTCAGTCTTCAACCCTTCCCTTTTACTTCTCCAAAATGGGCATTTGATTCTAAAGGTGAAATAAATTAAACTACACCTCTGAAAATAAAGCAAGCAGGAAAAGCTTTCTAATATGTTGATTTGATAAATGATTCGGACTTGTGTCTAGCAGAGATGCACCTCATTTTAAGCTCCAAACGTGAATGAATCATGTGCCCATTTTAGACATCTTCCCTCCTCATTCCACTATTTTTTCATAAAGACTTTGTGTTATATTTCTCTTGCATTAGAAAAAAGGCTTCAGAAAGGCTACAAGAAGTACTGTTGGCAACCCCTGGACGATCCAGCTGGAAAACTCAGCCATGGTTGGAAAAAAAAGCCATGTTACGTACAGCGTTTATCTTCTAATGTAACTTTCCTGTGTTGTGTTTTGCTCAGAATCCACAGAGTAAGGAGAACGCAGAGCTGTTAGTGACGTGGCTAGAAGCGCTCCTGGAGTCGTTAGACATCCCCATTGAAGAGGACGACCACCTGGTGTCCTACCCGAGCCAGCTCTCCATCACCGCCAGCAATAACCTGTCCAGTTCCATGTCATCTCTCTCCGTCTCTTCTCTACAATCCCCAACGGAAAAGGAGCCGTTGGAACTCTCGCAGTCTGTCGGGCACGGCGGGCGCACCAGGCACGGCTCGGCCAGCCTGGTCACCAAGCAAAGAAGCGTAGGCAGTATAAAGCACAGTAGCAAACACAAGACGGGAAGATGACAGCGCGATGGCGCGCCCTACAGTCTCCAGTAAACCAAGGACAACCAGAGGACCCCATGCAAGGGACTTACCCATCCACGTTTGACCTCACTTCTTTGCTTTGGATACCATAGGGGAGGAAAGAAAAAAAGGCTGGCAAAGCTTGTATTTTCAGGAGAATATTTGTTAGGAGAAAACTGAAATACGTACCTTTTCAAGTTTTTTTCAGTCTTTGTAGGATCGCCAAAACATGTTTCTACAAAAGCAGCCTTACTCTTTACAATGAGTGGAATTATACCATAATGGTGTTATTCCCAGTCTTTTAAGAGAGTCTTTACTTAGACATATGGGTAAACAAAAGTATGACCGTGTAAAATTCAAATGAACAACAACTGTATCTAAAAAGAAAGCTAATTCCAAGGCCAGGAATTGAGGTCTTCCCTGCTCTTTTAAAGACTTCAGTAGTTACAGTCAAAAAGGACTCTTACAGTCGATGAAAGAGGATGACACATGTATAACTATGTCCTCTACATTGAACTTTGTTTCCATTATATAGGGCATGTGCCATCCCTCAACAGCTAGTAAATTCCTTGTTCTTGCATTTGCTTTACAGGATTCTTTATGAAGATATTTAAGGATTATAGGGTGGACCAGAAATGTATAATATGTCTTCTATGTCTGGCTCGTTTATGAAGAAAATGTCACGATAAATCTAAACAATCAATTTCGACCAAATTCAATATGCTCTAATTTGAGTGTTTTAATTTTATTTTAAAGTTTGGAAGTGACGTTCTGATGAGAAATCATGAAGGCTATCATTTATTTTGCTGAGAATTGTTATTCAAAAGAGCAACTGGTTAATAAGATGTCTCTAATAGGACCACAGATATTTCCTGAAAAGCACAAAATAATAATAATGACCACAGGCATTTCCAGTTTTCTAGGTTTAAAAGAAGTACTGAATTTTAAACATGTTGCGCTTATTTCTCGTGGAAATCGCTAGTGTTTTTAAAAAGTGCACAATGTGTGTTGATGAGGTTTGATGAAGTGAATAATGATGAAGAAAAAAAACTGTACAGACCCAACAAATGTGACGTGGAAACATGCACGTACATGTATAGTGGTGAACAGTACATATATATGGAGGGGAAAAGAAGTTATTGTACAAAGCTGACCTTGAACATGTAAAGTTTACCATGATGATGATGACGCTACAGAAAGAAAGTGCATCCCCTCAGTTGTACAGACTGTGTTGTATGTATGTTGTAAAAAGTGCTTAAATGTAGTTAAGTCTATGTGATTGTAAGTAGTACACTGTGTTCCACTTGACTCCCTTTTTCTCGGCTGCTCCCTGCTGTCATTTTATTTCTTGGTGTTACAGTATCCCAAGAATGGTCTCAGTAGCCCCAAAGTTGGATAATCACCCATACCTGAAAGTTTAAAACTTAAATACCAAGTCCCTAAAACATTTTATTGATTGCAATTTGACATTGTACCTCAATCAAAACGAATCAATGTATTGCAGGAATGACCTAATCATATTTTTATATCATACATCAGAAATGGTACTGAAAAAAAGATCACATTTAGAGAAAGAAAAAAAGCTGTTATGTGTATAATGTAAGAGATAATCTCTTTCATAGCACATTTTAAAGAATAAACTTTAGAATTACAATGTTTACCATCATTATAAGCAATGTTTTAAATCGAATTGTGGTAATTTCGAACTATTGGGGGCATCCAGCATAGAAAAAAAAGTAAAATATTGTATGATAAAATTTGTGTATATTCTCTTGGATACTCTAAAAGTAAAAGACAAAGCTCTTGTCCATATTCATGAATATTTATGATTTAATCAAATACTGTACCCTGGACAAGAAGCCCTATACAGTATCAAAGAGATGTAATTAGTAAAGTATTTAAAGAAATTAACAGTTCCATATTGAATTTGGACCAGTCCTTTTATTGTTGCAATAATTAACATGTCATCGACAGATTGAAGGGTTTCTAAAAACAAAGTTCAGCCCTTTAACTTTCACCACTGTTTACATTTTACGCCTTGGTGCGTTCTCTAAAACTGTTACTGACTTTTGGTAGTAGAAGACAAGTTGAAGCAGGGACAAAGCCGCTAGAAAGGGTGTCATTTGCCCCATAGATGTTGCAGTCGTGAACATGACAGTAAATAGCAGAATCCTTGCTTTTCGCTATTTTCTTCATGCGTTTGACAACAGCATGATGTAAGACAGGAGACGACCGATCGCTGTACAATTTATGAGGAAATATTTGAGTCAACGAAAAAACGACGTCGCTGATGAATAAAACATTACTATGGAATTCACAAAAAGTTTGTTTCTTTTTCATTACGTATTGCTTTTATGGATTTGGACGGTTTTGTAATAGAGTTACAGAAAGGGCAAGTTTGAATGTTCACAGTTTGTATAATTTTCATTACACTCACAAAGTAACATTAAGCATTTTGCACGTGTCGTAGTTGTTTTGATGCAGGTCTTAGTCACGAGTAGAATTTTAATTCTAGGGTGAACAGGTTGTAACTTTGATGTTCGCCGCCAGGAGGTTTTGTGGTCCAGGAGATGACGCATAACTTGGCGGAAATGAGTCATCATAGTCTGTAATCTTTCCTTTAGTTACAGTTATTCCAAGGACATTATGATAAAGATAATATAGTTAATTCCCTTTTTTTAAACCATTTTAAAACCTCCTTGCTCATTACTTGTCCTTAAACGTGTGTTGTCAAAATGCTATTTAAAGTTGCCAAAGTTGTTCTTACCATCCTTGGTGATATGTGGGGAATTCTACACACATCTCCAGGCCTAGGCGTGTCCAAGTCAAATACTAGTAGCCTATAGCTATACTACTGTTTTTTAGGTCTTTGGATTTATCATTAGATTTTATCCCGGTATGAAGTCTGGAATTTGAGACATGTTAGCCTCAATAGCAGGTCCCTTGGGACACTTTGTAGTACACTATATTTGCTCATCACGATATGCTGTTGGCAGAACTCCTAGTATTCTGTTCTGTTGAAAAAAAGTTCCATAATCATGAACAAACAGTAGTGTTGACATACCCCGTGGGGCCTGTGTACAGGCTACAGGCGTGCAACAAACAGAAATTGGGTCAGCCAGCGGAAACAACAAAAGCGGGCGATTTCATTGTGTCGCGGGGGCCGGTGGGGATTCATACCCCGTCTATTCACCCCCGCAAACAACGCGGGCCACGTGGCGCAATGGACTAGCGCACCGGACTTCTAGTGGGTACAGCTATTCGGAGGTTGTGGGTTCGAGTCCCACCGTGGTCGTCGGGGTTATTTTTGGAAGCGGCAAGTTTGTTTTTAGTAGTCAACGCGTACGTAGCGCAACAGGCAAAATTTCGCAACCCGGAAGTATTTTTTTTAAAACAGCAATTGGTATGCATTCAGAAAACAGCAATAATCTAAAAGGCTTGAGTAGGATCGTACAATTCAGGCTAAGAAGTATTTACGTGCTGTGTTAAACTACAATGTTTCTACGTACTTTGACCCTGTATAAAGCCAGGGCAATATTATAAACCGGCCGAACGAGCCGAATGGGTAAAATGGTAATCTCCAAGCAGATACGGCGGGGGTGGGGCGCTATCGAAAGATCTCAAATACGTGACCTACGGGAATACGGACTAACAGCTATAGCCGCCGGATCTACTTTTGAGAGATGATTTGACGGACATCGACTTTACAACAAACTTCTTACGATTTTCGAACATAGAATTCATAGTATAAAAAACATGAATACTAAACGTCTTTGGATAAATATGTATGGATGGTACATGGATCTATCTATGATATATAATGATAAATACAATGGTACATGTACTAGTTTCTAGACTACTGTATACTATATATGATACATTCTGGAATGTACATCGGGCTAGTTTTGTTAGGCTTGACTTCTTGTGTTGAAAAATGATAGTAACTGTTGAAAACAGATTGATTTATTTTATTAGTATAATAAGGATATTTCAAATTTTTGCATAAAAAGTTACATAATGCAGTGGAAGACGAATATATCCTCTCACTATATCTAATATATCTCATGAAAAATAATAAGAAAATAGTAAAGATAACAAAAAGATATCAAAAATAATAAGACAAAAATATTAAAGACAAAATAAAATTTAGTAATAAAAAAAGTCCCAGATCTTAGATCAAGTAGATCTTGCTTTCTCATAACAACACGCAGCCACGTGACGTTATCCTGCGCAAGGCCTCGGTCATACCTTATGACGCAGCAGTTTTCTTGTGGGGCTTCATTGTCTGTAGTGCTACATGTATATATGACCCGCGATAGTCCTCATCAATGTACAGCACATCAATGCAATCTCAAGTTGGCAATTCGTCGCCAGACCTCTCATGAAACGGGCCGTCTCCAAGGACCCTCCTTCGACTACATGTAAGTAGACGATCACGTTGGTTTTCTTGGCAGGTAAGGGGGATTATGTCCCGTCCTCCTCTTCTTCTTAAGGTGTTAATATTGGGTGTAAAAGCAATGGAGGCCATATTCGGTGTGTGCATAGAACGTTTGCGCCATGGCTAATGCTGTGTTCTATTACTGTTGTGTATTTCTAACATGTATTTTCGTAGCGGTGTTGTCGGCTACGGCTGCATTAAGGCCACTTCTTTGTGCTAGAGCTCCCTTTGATTATTTTCCCCCCTCAACCTAGGCATTAAGAATCATGCCCGTAGTGACCACCTGTCAACTATGACCATTTTCTTCAAGTCGCTTCAAGGATCAGTGTTGACGGGTTTAACTATTTTCGTATGTCAGACCGACAGACGTGTCTTATAGTTCACACTGTAAATTTCAATGACTGCATGTCATCCTAGAAAGCACGTCTCAAAAACACCGCAATCAAGATACTTTTCCCAAGGGCAGCGTCTTCTTATTTGTACGTACGCACACTTCAGTAGAAGAAATTCGTCCGAGCTCACCGAAAGTGCTGCGTCACAATACACGCCTGAATACCTCAGAAAATTTGACTTTCTTTTACGATATCCGATTGCCATGTAATCTCTCATTAATCATGCAAAGACGACAATCCTTCGCTGAATCTGTAGCACACAGGTAAGTTTCAAGATGGTTTCTCTTCTTCAGAAAACTGTTTTGAAAGAGGATGATATAGCTCACCCACGGTGGGATCTATGTCTGGGTACAAATCTCCAACAAAAATGTAGTTTTATTTGTATTGATGCTTACAGTTTAATATGAACTGTTCAATATGGATACATGTATACTGGTAGTAAATGTGCGTGCACATATATTAGACTCTGTTTTCATGTTCAAACGCGAAAACGTCATCGCACAGGTTATCGCATCTGTGTTATGCACTGATTCTTAATCTGTTAATGGCATGACGTTACGTTTCTTCCACAGGTATCTGTGACCACTATACTTGATTGTAAACCAACAGTGACTGTGTCTCATACGTCGCCAATTATAATTGCAAACGTGGGAGAGGAAGAAAAACTGTATTAGTCCATCGAAAACATTTCTTGATTTCAGGAAGTTTCCGTAATGGAAAACTCAGTAACGTCCACCCCATGTCCTTTGGAGAGAAATCAGTTGACCTCTCCAGCCAAGGTCACTCTGGTCGCCATCTTAGCCGTGTTAGCTCTCGTGGGGGCTGTCGGAAACACCCTCACCATCCACATCACCCTGGCCAACCGGAAACGGAAACGGAGCGTCGACGCGTTCATGATCAACCTTGCCGCTGCCGACGTGCTGATAGCTTCTGTGATGAACACCTGTCAGATTGTGGGAGTCATGGCACCACAGGTAAACCCTTGTCCAGTACTATATCATATATCATATAACTGTAATATACATTCGCATACACATTACACAACGGCATGCTGTAGTACTTATACTAAATGGTCTCCTTAAATTAACGTGCTAAGTACGATACGAATATTTTTATAAAATTTCTAGGTAACGTTAACGTTACATGAAATTGCTGAGTACACGTACGTCTATTGGGTAGATAAATCATCTTTCGCCACAGCTTTTCTCACGCGAACGTCTCGGTAATTCTCAGATTTGTATCAAAAAGATAGATAGCACATTTATCTGCGATGAAAAAAAGCTTGGTTTCTTCCTACTGTATATTTCTTCTTGTCTGATTCAGTGTGTATTTGTTAAGTAAAGTAATACTCAACTTTTCATCTTAAAAGAAATTGAGGACTTATTCCTGGTTTTACAGGTGCTTGTTACACACCCACTGATCTGTGAGGTGATTGGTAGCATCTGTGTTACCGGTTGTGTGGTTTCCCTCGCCACCGCCGCTGCCATCAGCCTGAACCGGTACCTGTACATCGCCAAACGGGCCTGGCACGACGCCATCTTTGACAACAAGTGGTCGGCCGCCATTTTAGCCTCGTTCTGGATCCTGGGCGTCCTGTACAACCTGCCGATGTGGCTAGGCTGGGGTAACCATGGTTACGACTACAAGACGATGAACTGTATGTACGACCGCGCCGCCCACTACCATTTCACCCTGCTGTTCGTCCTTGGCGGCCATGTTTTTCCCGCCATCACAGTTGTCGTTTGCAACGGTCTCCTCGTGCGCCACATCCGGGCAACCAAGCGAGCGCTTGCCGAGCACCTGCCGAAGGCGATGATACGAGCCGACGACGTCCGAGTCATGAAGACCCTGGGGATCGTGTGTACTTCGTTCGTGCTCGGGTGGCTGCAGTACAGCGTCGTGGTGCTGGCGGACTACCGGGACCAGTGGTCGCAGGCCGTCCACTGTACGTCGTTCGTCCTGGCCCACTCTAGCAGCACGCTGAACTGTCTGCTGTATCTCGTGACCAATAAGGAGATGCGACAAAAATATCTGGCCGTCTTTTGGAAGAAAATAAAAGACAGCACTAATGATCTACGTCACAGCTCTGTCATGGATGTCAACGGCAAGCGTCGAGCTTCTGCCGAGCATCCGGAGAAGGCAATAGCTCTGAGAGGCTTTAACAATTTGGACTGGGACGCCTAATAAAATTGGAAGGGGACACATTCAATCAATCAATCAATCAAATGGTTTATTATTCAATCGACATTGCAGCACTACTTGCATGTAGGCTGAATTGTGCCCATTGTTACACATGTAAGTCTCATCAGATGCATCAGATTGAAAAAAGTTGCTAAAATATTTACACATATCATAAAATCCACTACAATAAAACCATCGGTATTAGCTTTAATAGAGTAATCGCGACGTGAAATATAAAAAGTACAGGTGCAAATACGTAGGGAAGAGAAAATGTCTAGTACGTCGTGTACCGAGTATAGGTGTGTGAAATGTTGTTCATTACATAGCTCTGGTGTGTGTGTTAGTATGAAATCTCAATGTATAACGTTAGCCATACCAGGAGTCCTACATAGATGAGACTACTTCGTATTAGAAATGAAGGAGGCCATCTTGCTTTGGCACACCAGCCATCACTCAGCAATGACGGCGGGCGGTATAGACT